TGAGCAGAAGTAAGGTACCTTGTCAGAAGTTATAATATTCATACACTGAAAATATATTTTCGACAGGTACTTACTTCCGCTTACACCTCCTACCCTTTCTCTCCACTGGTGCTTAGTTTTCTGCCTAAACTCGAAGTGACAGTTAGGTAGAGGCACATTTATTGGTGGATGTTTGTCGCATAATGATTTGCATGCGTGAATTATTTAAACCATGTGAACCGAGGAGTACGAAGGAGTAAAATTCTTGTGGCATGCGGAAAAGATTTGGCAAATAGAGGGAAGCACTGAACGACAATAGCTACATATTTTCAGTGTAGGAAAATGATAACTTTAATGAAAATATGCTAGTTATAAATATTAAATTTGTATTAGTAACACACCAAGTTCATGAAGAAGAAATTTTTGGTTGACGAAATAAGTTTAATTGCTTAATGTTCAATACCATGAATGAATATTCTTTTTATGTACAAGAAATATTTATATAGCACAGCATAATTTACTGTGTAAATTCCATCAAACATATAAATTATAGCGATATTGATTATTTTGTAAAATAATGATATAGTACTGTTATTAATCTTGAGCTAGTAGTCAGATTGACTTTAAGCATTACATAAAATACTTTGTTGTAAATATTGTCTCATAAGGTCAAAGTTAGTGATTCAGGTGTGCCCTCCTTGTCGTCCACAACCCGCGTGGTAGTGACTGTAGAAGACATAAATGACCATGAACCAAGATTCACAGAATCACTATATCGATGTCCTGTTCTGGCATCCAGCAAGATGATTGGAAAGCTTCTTTGTCGGGTAAGGTTAAAAATTCTGATATTACTTTAAAAAAGACCTTTTTAAGTGCAAAATTCTGGCTGTACTTTAAAATGACATTAAAAAACCTAGGTTAGAAAAAGAAGGCCAGTTAGTTGTAATATTAAAAAAAGAAAAACATTATAGAAGCAGTATTTGTGTCTATGGATTGTCATTTATATTTTGTTAATTTCGAATTTACTTACCAGAAAAGAAATAAGAAGAAGTATAAGAATATCAAATCTAGTTAATTTGTGAAATTTATTCCAGCAGTTATATTTTTTGTGGCTTATAATTGGTATTCATTTTAAAATTTAAATATAGTTACTTGTTAGCTTAGGTTTTCAGATTCACTGTGTTTTCAAAGACCAAACTGAAGAAGTTGGAAGTACCTAACTTACAACATTCACACACATACCAGTCAATATGTAATTGATTGTTAGCAAGAACTTTTCGGCATTTGGTGATGAAATAACTTAAGAATAGTACTTAAATAAAACTGCGTACTCATAATAAATAGTAAGCTGTCCCTAACAATATTATGTGTGTTTGTAGTCAAACTGGTACTGAAATTGAATATTTTTGGATGATATTAGCATTTTATATGTATAAATTTGGCATTTTATTTTTTATTTACAAATATATTTAGAAATTATAATTCAATGTAATTCATCTAGTCTACTTTGATCATATACTAATTATACTGTAATTATGTTTCAATCGTTTTTTACATAAATTTTATTAAATTTTTAGATAGCTACTGAGTTTTGATGGTCTTTTATATTTATTTGCTATTATTTATCACAGGTATTTGCTTAATAAATCCTCATGTTATTCAAGCATCCATAATTTCATGGCTATGTATTCTGTGTTTCTATCTAGCAGAGTGTGAAGTTTTAACATACTGGTATCTGTAATTTATTGAAAAATTATTTCCATAGGTCATTGCAATTGATCATGATGAGGGACCTAATGGTGTTCTAGAGTACAGTATACTGAAATCAAGCACTGAGGATTATTTTTATATTAATCCAAAAACTGGAGTTATTACATCTGATAAAATCCTCAAGACTAGTGCAGAATATGAACTTATTGTAAGTATTAGATTTGTTATTTAGATTTGAAACGTTTAAGTAACATCCCGGTTGAAACTGTAGAGACCTATTAGCAACCTGCATAGAACTTAACAACATTTATTATATAAAACAACTGGAATATTGTAATAACTTGAAAATTTATGTGTATCTGGAGTGAGATATAATTTTTAATAACTTTTTCTGTAATTGTTTAATTTGAAGAGTTATGAACAGGTCTCTCTTTGTGTTGATATATTTTATTTTAATGTGAATGAGTGATGGAAATGTGATAAAGATTAGGAAATAATTGAGACAATACTAGTTTTAATGGTGATAACTTAGTGAATTGTATATGATTATTAATTGTATTAAAAATGTTGATTTAATATCTGATTTTCTAATTAATGTGATGTCACCTTTTTTAAGGTACAGGCTAGTGATCACGGTGAACCAAAACACACTGTAACAGTACGTGTTCTTATTGAAGCTTTTGAAGGGCCTAAGAAGTCTCGGTACTCTCCTGTTATTAAGAAATCAGAATCATACAATGTAGTTACTGCAAGTGATCCAGTGCAACAGATGGTTATGTTAATTGAAGCAGAGGATAAAGATGGAGACAGACTATGGTTTTCAATTGTTGGTAAGATTCTAATTCTTTTTTAGTGAAATTTCCTGAAAGTACTCACTTTATCATGTTATAAAGTAGTTAAATGAATTTGAGAAGCAAAAACGTTCATAATGAGTTTTGATGTGATCCCATTATGGTTTCATTATCAGCATTGTCAGACTTATGTTGTGTTTTTAATAGGTGGTAATAAAGATGAAAAATTTATGATGAAAAATGATGGTGGTGCAGTTCTTCTAGCAGAGCCAGTAGATGGTGAAGTGTGCAGTCAGTATGACTTAAACATCAGTGTTACAGATGGAATCTATACTGTATACACAGTGGTTTGTACACTTAATAATGTATTTTTAATACAAAGTAAACACTTAATTTGTTATGCAGAAGGAACCATTAACCTAATATAAGAAGGCTTAGTTACTGAAACTTGTAATGCTTCATATATATTTTTCATAATAGTATGTAATGTAGATCTATTAGGATATATTTAGAGATTTTGACATCCAGTTTTAGTTTTTGATGAGTATGTATTGTAGTGATAATTTTATACTTAGAAACCAGTTTCACATCTGTGCTGTTTGATTTATATGTGTATGAAACTTATAAACTGTGACTGTAAGATTGTTATACCTGTTATTAACCAGTTATAAAATTTTGATAATGATTATTACAAAATTTTTTTACATTTTTAACAGTTGTTAGTTGTAACAGTATTTATGAATACATTATTTTGTGGCTCAGAAAGCAATAAAGTAATCAAGTTAAAATGATTCAAAGGAACATTTAGTTCTGAAAAGATTAGTCTAATTAATTTTAATGAAAATAAATGCATAATATTTTCAGTTTAATAGGTGTTTAACTAAAAAATTCATTCCATATATATATATATATATAGTAATCTTCAGTTCATGATATTCTATACATTTTTTAACAGACATGTTTACTTATTTGTTTAGAATTTTGTGCTATAGAATAAAAGACCAATTAATGTAATATTGGGTCTATATTTTTATGTAAAAAAAATAATGATACATTATAGGTCAAACTATTTTGTACTTGTGCAAAAGTCTTTTAAGAGGTAACATGTTATTGTAGACAAAGATAAAACATTGTTATTTAATTGAATTCAAATAAAAGTTATTTTTAAGAAAATTTATGTACCCATTGTTCAGAAGAGCTTCAGCTTTGAAATATAAATTTATTTGAATAAGTTTGCTCAAAATCACTAGAGGAGAAACAACATTCATCCAATGGAAAAAACACACACCAAAAAACAAATAAAATCAACAACAAAAACCTTAATTTTAGATGTAAATAAATATTTTTTGTTATGGAGAAGAAACTCTTAACCTAATATATAAGGCTCAATGCAAAATATTTGTACATTAAGTTTTAAATAAACAGAGAATAACAATCATATATTCATTTTTAAAGTCTATGTTTCAAATAACCTAACAATTACAGCTATTACTTTGCATTATTCTTTTTTTTTAGAACATGATAGACTAATTATTTTAATTTGATGAATGTAAGCTACGTTGCATTCGAAATAGCCATACAAACTAATTATTTAACTTATAGAACATTGTTTTGTCTGACAATTATAGGTTCTGCTTTTGTTTTTTTCTTGTTTTATGCTAATTTCATATGTTTAAATTTCATCTTAAAAGTGTAAGTTGATCTATTATAATTTTACTGCTTTTGCTCTTAGTAGATATAATTTTAATAATAAAGGATCTTTTTTGATTATAATATATGGCTTTATCAATTTAAATATATTAAATTTTGAACAAATCTGTACAGAGGAAAGTGGATGTGAAAGATATAAACGACCATAGACCAGTTTTTACCAAGTTCAAGTATACAGTAACTGTTAATGAAAGTGTTACCCAAGGGATGGAAATTTTACATGTGTCAGCAAAAGACCATGACAAAGAAGAACAACTTTTTTACTCCATTTATAATAGGTAAATTTGTCACAGTATATTTGCATGCACATTTATATATTGCACAAATAAATAATGTTACAATAAGAATTGTAAGTGTACCACCTGAAAACAGTAATGTATTTAAACTAACCAAACTATTAACATGCATTTAGAAGAAGCAAAATTCAAACTTCCAAATTCTATTGACCACTGCTAGCTAATCACCCCCTTTTTTGTGAACACCATTTTTGAACTTTGTAGCTTATTTTGATGAATTAAAAGATTAAATATTCTGTATTTTATTAAGACAAAAAGTAGCATTTTAATTTATTTTGTGCTTTATTATTTCTTTATTGAAATAATAAGGTAAGTAAGAAACTGATAAAGATGTGTCATGGTGACTTGTTGGAGAATGGCATTTAAAACTGTCAGATGGTAATTTAACTTAAAAAATGTAACGTATTTTTCGGTGTATAAGATACACTTTTTTACCCCAAAATTTGATGTCAAAATCTGCTTGCGTCCTA